TGGGCAGGTGGGACGAGAAGGAAAACCGGGGAGCGAGCCCCCGAGACCCCCCAGTGCCGGCGGAGGGCTCTGTGTTCAGCCGGGGTCAGCACTGCCCGCTCCCGAGCGCTGGGGCTGGGAGAGAGGCAGCAGGTTCTCTGACCGCCCCCAAACCTCGGCGCTTTGGGCTGGGAACAAGCGCTCCAGAAAGGAGGGTTACATGAAAACACCGGGGGGAAGGAAGGGCAGCGGGTGCCGAGGGTGTGCAGCACAGGGAGGGCAGGGAAGGGCCAGTCACCAGCATCCCTGGCTCTGCGTCCCGGGGAGGACCGCGAATGGGAGGCGAGGAGGGGGACAAAGGGAAATCTACAAGGCAAGTTCTCCTGACTTGGCAAAGTTTGCGAATTCCCCCTTAAGGGGCTCGGGAGAGTGTCAGGCCACGGGAAGCCGGATCAGGGCTGGGGCAGGGGGTCAGAAGGAGAGGAAGCGGTTCCCTGGCCGTGCTAGAGATGCAGGGAGCCTGCAGTGAATGTGCGAGGCTGGGAGAAAGCCCGAGATGATTGAGGGTTAGGGAGTGGGTAACAAATCCATCGTTAACTAATTGTTCCTCTGGCCTACTTTGTCTCATTTCAATGTCCATTCGTCAACGCCGTAAACTAGATGAAGGGGGAAATGTCTGAGAACAAACCGTGGTGTGCAGGTTAGGAATTGAATTGGTCTCATTGTGGGGAAGATCTGTGTGTGTGATAAGCATTCAGTGCCGCTGGCCTTTCAGAAAAACCCCGTGGGCTGTTGCCATCCACAGGAATAAAAGCTTCTCCTTCCACAGAGAATAGCTCGGTTTGGTTTGCTCAGCCAGTCCCCGCGATATTGTGGGCTACCTGGCACCTTGCATGGCTGAACAGGGAGATGGCTGCCAGGAGCAGGCAGTGCTTGGGTAGTGGCTCATGCCGTTAAGTGTAGCCAGCTTGTTCACCTTGGGGTAAAACTTGAAGGACCTACATTTGGGAAAGCGTGCTCCCCTCCTGCAGGGTGCAGAGACGCCCACCGGCTCCGGGGCATGGCTGAAAACAACCCACAGGTTGCAATTTTTAAATCAAAAGACATCAACGCATGTTAGCAAGCGAGCATTGTCCGGGCTGCCAGTCAAAGGGATCTGTGTGACACAGCTCTCTAATAACCCGTCCGTGTGTGCAGTCTCCACTGTCCTCCTTTCTGGGAGTGACCCCAGCATCACCTAGCGTTGTTTCTTGGAGGGCACACGGTGGCTGGTTTATTTGCAATGCTCTAGTGAGATATCCCAGCTCCAATCCAAACGGCAAGCAGCATCTTCGGAGAGTTTGAACGGCATCTAGTTTTGTGTGCGTGCTTGGGAGCAGGTATCTGAGGCCCCTCCGGGCCGGGGCATTGGTGTTTCAGGAGTCACCTATTCCATGATGTATTACGGCCTTGTGCACAAATGCCCTTAGATCTGAATGGGCGCCGGTATCCTGAGCACCCCGCGGATTTGGCTGTGTGCAGACTCTTGGCACCGATCTGGTGGTAACCTGTGGGTTTTCTGCCTGCCATTCTATTGTGGGGAGCTGGCCGTGCCCAGGGTGTGCTGCGCCCCAGATACACAGAGGTGGGGGCAGCAGCAGAACGTTTTCTCTCTGGGGGCAGTATGCAGGGCTGCGTAGGGCGTGCTCTCTGCACAGTGGCCCCCCACGAGCGCCCGACAGTCATCGGCATCGCGTGAAAAGCCAGGACATTAAATACAGGAAAGCTGCTACAGGACCTCTGTTCATAGAGCATGGCAGGTGCACAGGGGCCTTTAAAGGACAGCCCTGGCCTGCTCCCGGGAGGTGCTGAATCCCTCCACTGCTGGCCCTAAATGTGAGTGGGGAAGATGACTGTGAAATGCCAGGTGTACCTTGGAGGACGTGCTCCCCAGGATCAGGCCCGGAGCGAGTGAACTGTGGGGCTCTGGCTGCCTCTCCCTTCCTACCTGCCCCCACTTTCCCAGAGCTCGCTGCTAGTAAGCTGGAAAGACACAGCTGGGGCAGCAAAGCCTTCCCTCTGCTGCCTTAGCTCACATCAAGCCTTTATTAACCCCCGTTCCATTTACAGCCTATGAAATCCCCATTCTTCCCCGGGATTCCTCAATGGGAAACAGCTGTTTTAAAACCTTTATTCCCCCAAGAAGCTAAGCCTGGTGAATAAGTATTGATTGGAGGAGGAGATGAGCAGCATTTGATCGCTCTGACCAGGAGGTAACATTCATCAGCTCTTTTTTTGACCCTTTATTGCTTTCAGGACAGTTTTTGTTACATAATTTATTGGGGGAGGGGGGGCATTTCACAAGCCTCGCTTCCTCCTGGAACCTGTATTCTTTGGGCCAGACCGGGATGGGATACCGAGACATACAGAAGTTGTGATCTTAGGGTTGTGTGAGCCCCAGTGCTGTGGTGCTGCTCTCTGCCATGCTGGATTGTATCAGCACAGAGGGTGGTGTGCCCCCGCTTGGTTCGGTGATGTTTTCCTCACTAGGAGTGCTGGAAAAGGCTGTGCTAGAAAACGATTTAATTAGATCTGGTGAGACAAAGAGCGGCTGTGCCCCTCGTGGGCTGTTCTAAGGGTGGTTTGGGCATGCCGTTGCTTTTCTCCTGTAATGTAATTATTTCTATCCCCGTCTT